GCGCGGCTCCGGACCTGAGCTACGCCGGGCTGCAGCCAATCAGCGGCCATGGAGCCGCGTTCCTGGCCCAGGGGAGGGGCCTACGCGGAGCAAGCGGGGCGGGGGGAGCCCGCCGGAGAAACTTACAGAGTGGTACCTAGGAGCGAGCCCGGCCAGGCTCGGGCTGATACCTTGGTGCTTTCAGTCCCCTTCATGAAACCGAGCGGGGCTTTCTCTGCCACTCTGGCTTGGCCTGGTTGCCACTGGATTTCAGGGGTGGACCCCTTCCCCCTCTTGCACCTGGTGAGGCGCTTGGCAATCAGCTGGAGCCCGCCGGAGAAACTTACAGAGTGGTACCTAGGAGCGAGCCCGGCCAGGCTCGGGCTGATACCTTGGTGCTTTCAGTCCCCTTCATGAAACCGAGCGGGGCTTTCTCTGCCACTCTGGCTTGGCCTGGTTGCCACTGGATTTCAGGGGTGGACCCCTTCCCCCTCTTGCACCTGGTGAGGCGCTTGGCAATCAGCTGGAGGCCAAACCCAGCCACGCGGTTCCCACCCGCTGCGGTGGAGCGCATGGAAGACTTGACGGCACTAACGCACTATTGCTGCTGAAGGGGGGAATCGTGTTTGCCACGTCATTTGTTTCCCCCTTGACCATTACTTGAACCCGCCCTGAGTCACCTCAAAAGCTAACACTGATGAATACAAACATAACATATGACACGAGCTCTTATGTTGCCAGGGGCTTTGAGACATCTTTTGCCAGGCCAACACACCAAATAGTTATGTTGCACAACCACAAAAACCCTGCCTTGCTCTGAAAACAGGAATGCGCATTGAATGGAGATCAGCTAGCGCAATGAACGTCACGCTGGCAGGAGAAGGCCTTTTCTAGCAGTCTCTGCCTGATAATTAGGGTCACTGATTAGAGAAAGGAGGGGTGTTTAATGCCTCTATCACTGGCTTTCCAGCAGACTGAATCTTTAATCAATGAAACTGACAAGTAGGCTTGTAAACTAAATAGCGTAGGCTGGAAGTTGAGTCAGAGAATAAGAGTCTTGTCGGAGTTTCTATTTTTTGGTTGGTTGATGGGCTGGTTTTTGGTAGGTTCAGTATATTGGTTTCATGTTTATATTTAAAGTCTAAGCACACAGTCTGTACTAAAGAAAAAGTCAAAAGGGAGTTTGAAACCACAAGAGTGGGCTCTTTAATTACTAATTTCATCAGCGCCTTCCCGCAGGAATGTTCCACATTGACAGCATTACTAATTTCATCAGCACCTTCCCGCAGGAATGTTCCACATTGACAGAAAGGCCCGAGTTTAGCCTCAGCGTGTTAAGCACAGGTTGGGGGGAGTTTACCACAGCTGTGGCCAAAGGTTTGCTGTCACCTATTTAGAACTGCTTATGGGGGCAATGAACATCCCATAATCCGTCTAAGATGAGCGCCTGTTCTTGTAAATTCAGAGCAGGTGAGTAAACTAATAATTAGCCAGTGTGACAATACTGATAGCATCATAGTGTTGATTACACTTTCACCATGAGATTAATGAAAGTGAAATGGATTCTTAATATTGGCTACGATCATTACTGTCCATTTCTATCACCTAGAGCTTGATCCAGCTGCCCTTCTTAGGATATACTTTAAAAAATATGTGTCAAAAGTAACCCACTGGTCAGATTTTTATTGGGTGGAACACCTTGGATTATAGTTCAGGAATTATAGTACAGAGTTCAGATGGAAACTCACTATAGATATACAATGAAAATAGAGAATATCCATAGAATAGTAAACTAAGAGAAACTGTTGAATAGCATATTACTAAGGGCCTAAATCATCCCCTGGGAAGTCAATAGGAGTCTTTTCACCGACTTTAGTGCATTGGATGAGGCTCTAATATTTTAGGAATCAAGGACTTCCAGCATAGAAACACTGGGGCAGGGGAGGTATACAACCTGACTATAGAGTTGACAATATTTTATATGGGGTGTTAGGTCTGAACATATCTCAAACATGCAGAGAGTATAATTATTGAGGAAGGTAACATGGCAGCATCGGATGTCTTCCCAAAATAAAATAAAACCTCCATTGTTTTCACCACTGGTATTTACCTTTGATCTCAGTGTGTGGCAATAAAATGCAGTTAGGTATAATTAAAAAGGCCTGAAAAGGGCATTAAGAAGGTTTTATGTCTCAAACACAGGATGTTATTTGTGTATTTGGCAGCCTTCTAAAATATTGCCTGGACATTTTAAACAGAACAATTAGCATCATGCTCAGATGTTTTTAAGCTATGCTTAGAAGCTTTTAGCTACTAACTTTAAAACAGGCTGTTCCTCTCTGAGTTAAAAAAAAAAAGGATGATGATGCTTCCTTGTGGCAAACCTTGTCAGGAACCCACTGATCAATAAAAGTAAACTGGCGCCTTCAAGATTTGATTGAGCTGGAGAAAGTCTGAATAGGATTCTCAGCCATTAACAATCCCCCAGGTAACGAGAAATGGAAAAATTACTTCAGGTAAAATTATTAACATTGCAGTGGCATTTAAGAAGATGCTCACAACAAGATAAGCAAGCAGCAGACCTGCTACCTGAGGGAGACTTAATAGAATGTGTATACTC